CGCCAGGAGAAGGGTTTGTGATGAGTTCAGCGTTCCCTCTGTCCCTAGGTTGCCAGAGGGCTTTTTTCATCTTTCTTTCAGACTTAACCCCTTCCTAACTGCATTTCCTCTTTGTTTAGCAGCCATAGTAAAAACGAAGCAATAGTAAGTCCAGCTGTTGTTAAAGTGATCCAGTATGGGCAAACTTTTGTCTTCTCTGGGGAAGTGTTTGGATATTCACACTCTTTCTCAGCTGATGGGCCACAGAATCTGGCTGTAATGGTTTGATTTGCCCAACTCTAGTTGGATCGATGCGGCTGTTTACAGTTTCTCCCTCTTTCATCGCTTTTGTCTTTTTTCTAATTTAGTGTTCCCAAACCATGCACAGGGGTCTGAGTCTGTCTGCTGTGCTTGCATCTTTGCCCTTCTCCCTACTCTCCATCACTGTCCATTGATGTTTTTCCTCTCTTTCTCTTCTCCTCGTCCTCTTTCCTTCCTTGGTTGGTCTTGGAAAAAGAGCTGCATGCCTCCACACTTCTGGACAAGACTGATGGCTCGTCAATAGCATTAGCCAGCACTGCAGGCCTCAGTGGTGTAGAACCAAATCAATAAAGCCAGTAAAAAGACTTATACGTGTATGCAGTCCATTTCAGCCAATTCTCATGTTACCACAGATGAGTTTTTGTAGGAATTAGGAGTCACCATCTAATTTATTCCCTTTCTTCTGTTTTGCTACTAACTCAACAAAGAAATTAGGGTTGTTGTAAGTCATTCAGTGCATCTGTTGTTAGAGTATTCATGACATAATTAAAAATAAATCTAGCTCAATGGGAATTTCATATGTAATACATTTCAGCAGCAACATGTAAAGACTTATCAGCTTTTATTTCTTTCTAAATTCTAGTTATTTACTTTGTAATGATAGGGTGCTTGATAAATCAATTAGTCATCAAAGGAAAAGGATTTCTGCTTTGAGTCCTGCCCTGAGGGTTTGTGGATATGTGTGCTAGCAAGATGTGAAGACTTAAGATTTAAAAAAGTCAAATTTTACTCCGTACTTCTGTTTGGAACATGTTTATGCTTTTGTTCTTTTTGCAGTTGACAAAGAAAAGGTTGTTGAGCAAACACAATAGTCAATCATAAGGATACGCACCATTACACTTGGTACCAGGGTACCATAGGTTGCAGGTCGATGTTCAACTTTGTGGTCGCGTTGTCCTTTTTATGCCTGTATGTTTTAAATGCTTGGTGATAGGAGTAGGGGTTGTATGAACTAGTCGACTTCACGGCTCTGTAGTGACTTTTTATGCCTGTCATCGACTAGTCGCTGTCACGTGATAATGAATGACAAGATGCAGTCCTCCAGCAGGTGATGAGCCCCTGCGTCGGGAGGCGGAGGCGACGCGCTGTGCCAGAGCGTTGGTACTGACACCGGCGGTTAAAACGGACATTTAACCAAACTGTGACCTATTCCCTCTCGCAATTTTACCTTCCCCCACCCCCATCCTAATCTTAGCCAGTTTGCGCATGCAAAGCTCTGATCTTTGACGCGCTCCAGACATCTGCGTCCTGAGCACAGCCAAATCAGGTGTCACCACCTCAAAAACAAATTAAACACACAATCGTTCATGTCCGCTCATTTACTTTCATGTTTTCTGTCTGTTATTTGTGCCTGATGCGTTTCGCTGCTGCGGAGCGAGGCACATCACCTGTTTTGTCCTCCGGTGACGCACCCCCAAGATTCCACTATCTCCGCTCCGGCACGAACTCCGCAGCAAAAACGGTCCCGTTGTAGTCGGCCGGCGCTGTTCTTGCGGTCGGTAGATCTTTTAGAACTGCAGTTCAAAGGTAACTCATAAGGTGAATATATATGAACCCAGGTAGCAGTTTCTCTTTAGGATTGAGAGGAGATGCAAGAAGATAATAAACAGATACAGGACAGAAAAATAGTCAAATAAAAACAAGTTAGTTTTTGCACCTGCTGGTTGCAACAAACAAACACCATTGAAGGTAATCAGAAGTGAGGAACAGAAAATGAAATAATTATTTTAATGTTTAGAGCAGCAGGAACTCCGAGAGGCTGCAGGCGCATCAGTGAGTTTGCGGCCGCTGCACAGGGGGAGGGGGGAGAGGGCTGAAGCAGAAACTACCGTTGTTAAAAGAAATGTGTTTAACTTTGAAAATGTGGGCGCAATTTTAATTGTCAAAAACTCCAGCGAACCTACCGACCCCACCCCCGCCGCTTCAGGTGTATGACATCATCAACGACTAGTCGAAGTTGACTCGATTTTCATTACTTGACTGTCGACTTTGAAAAAAATTAAGTCATGCAACCCCTAGATAGGAGCGGAATGATTTACACTACAGTGAATCATTTACACGGTCAAACACTGATGGTGATTAGCTATAATGTAGCCAAAGCTGTCCTAGGGCACACGTACAGAAGGCAAGGCAGAGGTGTCTTGCCCAGGGACAGGAACTGCATGGTGGCAAAGTTGTTAGCACTGTTGCCTCACAGCAAGAAGGTTGCAGGCTTGAAGCCTGGTTGCGGACTTTCTGCGTGGAGTTGAATGTTCCCCCCATGCATGCGTGGTTTTTCTCCAGGTACTCCCATTTTGTCCACAAATCACAACATGCTCTATAGATTAACAATTGTGTGCCATTTTGGTTAAAAGCGTCTGCCAAATAAATACATTTTTAAAATATGTCTTGCCCTCCTTGTGTAAGATGTCAATGGTCAAGTCCACAGCCTTCCCCATGATTGTGTAGCCTACATAACTAGGCTGAGAGACCATTTAAAGGCTTTTTCAGGTGTTTTGGGTGAATTAACTAATTAGTTTAGCACAAGGGGTCTTCAAAATTGAACCTTTTCACACAACACATTCTCACACCCTAAGCGTCGGAAACAAACGCTTGGTCAGCCACCCTCCACGTCAGACCCCAGACGCCAAAAGTGCCCTTTTTCGTTACTTATGTGCGAAAAGGGTTTTTCCCTTTTGTAACTGCAGATCCCAATGCAGCGTAAAACTGACGTGATTAGATATCCGCTGATGCGGCACCGAACCAGCTCATTTAACCGCACCTAAACCTTAACCTTTCACTATTTATAACCTTCCCCTCTCCCTCATCCTAACCTTAACCCTCTTGCTACCTAAAACGTTACTCTCACTGCGATCAAGCGTTTGTTTTCCATGCATTCAGACTCTGACAGTCAGAGTCTGACTGTCAATTTTCGTATTTGCAGCCCAAGGAGAACGTTAGAACATACCATCTGGCGAGGGGGAGGTTACAAATACCCTCTACTTTTAACCTCCACCGTGGTAGCTGAAACCTCCCCCTCGCGTTGGCTCGGTCCAAACCCGACCAATGACGAGGCGGCTCCCGCCGTTCACTTCATAGAGCCGGCTTTTGGAGCGATCGACACATCACTAACGTGTTCACTAAAAAGATGGTTAAGGTTAGGATAGGGGTGAGGGGAAGGTTAAATAAGAGGATAAGGTTAAATAAGAGGATAAGGTTAAGTAAGAGGATAAGGTTAGGGTGAGGTACGATGAGCTTGCCAGGGGGCTGTGGACATCCCATCACGTCAGTTTTACGCTGCATTGCGATCTGCAGTCAAATAAGGGGAAAACCCCTTTTCACACATAAGTAACGAAAAGGGGCACTTTTGGCGTCAGGGGTCTGACGTGGAGGGTGGCTGACCATGCGTTTGTTTTTGAGGCGCTGGGAGTGAGAATGTGTTGTTTCACAATATTCTAATATTCTGATACGGAATTTGGGATTTTCATTAGTTATCAGTTTAAAAATATATCACTCTGTGTGTAATGAATGAATCTAATAAACAAGTTTCACTTTTTGAATGGAATTACTGAAATAAATCAACTTTGTCATGATATTCTAATTTATAACCAGCACCTGTACATAGAATGTAATAATCTGAAACACCATCAGCTACAGCTAGCTATAGCATTAGTGCAGCTTGGGACACTGCTGGGATGCATTTGTTGATGTTCCTGTGTTTCTTTTGTTGTTGTTGTTGTTTCAAAGTAAGGGCTTTAAATGGTAAATGGCCTGTATTTAGCGTCTTCTAGAATTCTATAACCCCCCAAGGCACTTTACAACCAACTAGTCATTCACCTTGTTTTCAAATCTATCCACAAAGGTAAATAACTGATTATAACCTTTTGCAATAAAATAACTTCAAAAGGTCTAAACTATCAACTTCAGATAGCTGTTTATGATAAATCTGATTGATCAATTTTACCAAGAGTTAAGAGCTTAGAAAATGTGTGTGTGTGTGTGTGTGTGTGTGTGTGTGTGTGTGTGTGTGTGTGTGTGTTTTGCACCTGTGCACGTTGACAGCTTCAAGGACCGGCAAATAACAAGGACCAGTATTATTTAATTCAAGGTCAATAATCTTTGTGTCACTTCTTCTCTTTCACAGAGGCGAGGTTGAGTAAAAATGGTTTTGCTGCTGGAGCTCATGTTAGTTTGTAATCTGACCCCCAGTTTCATCAAAAGTTGACAGCAAAGGTTGATTTTGTCTGATGATGTCATCACTTTCCTTCTTTCTGATGCTGTTATAAACGTGATATTTCCCACCTGCTTACATACTCTTAGTTGGTATTCTTTATTAATTCATGTAAAAACCACTGATTGATCTCATACTGGATGGATAGAAAAGGATATATATATACATATAATATAAAAATAGTTTTTGCTGTATTTTGACCTAATTTCCTTGTTTAAATTTGATTTCAGCCCAAAATCAAACAAAGGGACTTGAAGTCCTTACTGCAGAAGTACCTTCTTCTCATACCAGAACATCTTTTAATAACTTAATTAATCTAATCATCCACTAATTGGTCAAGATAGCCTTTTCCCTAATGATTTCTATCATAGTGTAGTTAACGACTTCTGAAATCACTTTCCTGTTAAAACGCCGTGATTGACGTGCTTTTTAGATATCATTTCTGAGCATTACGGCTTGCAAATTTGAATAAAATCTAATGACAAAAGACTAGTGACTGATAAATCTTTAATATAAAAATTGTACAAGAATTCTGATACAAATTACAAGAGGTATTTGGACAAAATATGAATAAAATTCCATTTACATCCCCAAACCCTTATGCATTTTATGCAAAAACCATAGACAGTTATGATACAGAAACAAATACAAGAAAGGCTAAAAATAAAGAAAAAAGTCTCTTAAAAAGGATTATTTTTAAATCCTTCTGTCTGCACATGGGGAACACCTCTTTAGGTAACATACAGTATTGATGAGGCTTCTGAATCACCATTTTGACAACAAAGTGGCGCAAGCTCCTTTGCTTTGTTTTTGTTTTCTGATTATGAAGCCATGCAACGCCGTCGAGTGCTCTAACAGGCTTTTCTAAACACAGACACTAATGCTTCGGATACTCAAAATAAACACAAGTAAAAAACCCAAAAAATAAACCAAAACAAAACACCAGCTCGTCAAACTATTTATACTTTAAGACTTTAAAATATATTTGAAAAAAAAAAAACTATGGAAAACATTTAGTGAATTTACAGTATTTCTTTGTTTTTGTTTTCAGGAAAATTGACATTTCACAGGTTCCAGTTGAAATGAATGATGGCATTCTTTTAGAACACAAGTCATGAAAGTGAGGCATCGGTACAAACCCTCGTGTGTATTTCTCTTTTAACTGCATATTTCTAATGACATCCTGGTTAGCTTTACCCTCACGTCGTGCCATGAGCTGCATTAACTGCACGCCGTTGCGCCTCTCATCCTCTTTCCTCCCTTCTTTTTGTACTCACTCATTCTGTGACATGAACAAACTGGACGGCGATGATCAGGTCAGGCGTTTTCATCCGTTTGCCATCCCGTTTCTCCCTCTTTGTGCCATGCAGAATGGCAGAATAATTGATGCCTGACGCTGCTCTAATCAAATATTTAAGATTCACTCCAGTGGTTTGGGCCAGTGAGGCGCTCTGAGCAAAGCGTTTCTGATGTCCAGGAGTGTGGTCACTAGGCTAAAAAGAATGCACCGTGATCTGTGTGTCTGGAGAGTTTTGTTGATAAGGGAGACTAACGGTCATTTCTCTGGAGGAGGAGGCTGGAAGTGTTGATCTTCAACCACTGGTGGTAACTTCTGGGGACCCTTTCTTGCTTATAGCTTTTCCACCAAAACCCGTGTTTGTATTTTTCTCCTCGTTGCATTAGACGTCTGCTGCAAGGCTTCAGCTGTAAAAGATTCTGAGTACAGTCCTTTTCAACTGTTCCATCTCCTTCTGGCTGCCTCCCTCGGCTGTCTCCCTGCAGACTGTCGCTTGCACGCTTTTTTAGCTATGTTTCTGGACTCGTGCAGCTTTAAATTCTGCTGGTTCGACTGGCTTCATGCAATACTCTAAATAAGCTTTTTTCTTTTCCCTACAAGCCTCGTCTGTGACTTTATTTTCCTGTTTGGAACTTAAAGGTACAAATGACGGGTGGCTGCTACACGACAAGTGGGAAGCGACAAACACAACGTGTGTGAATGTAGAATGAAAACACTAAAAAGGGGATAATTGGGCAGAAAACAACAGGGCTAGAACGACTTTTCATTCTACAATTTAACAGTACTGCAGGAATATTAAGAACAGACGAATAGGTGTTGTCTACATACCAGGATGTTAGCTTTCTTCTGTTTGAAACAATAAAAACGCATTTTTCCTTTCAGATTTGTCTCCTCCATCACCATCAGTTCAGCAAGTCATTCTTTTGTGCCACTTTGCCGTGTGTTTGGCTGTTTTTGTGTTGCGGAGACAGCTGTCAGCAGGGTTCCCGGAGAAGCACTTTTTATTTTATTTTTTTTTATTTCTGCTGCAGCAAAAGCCAGAGGGACTGAATGAGTGAATGAGGCAGCAAGTGCCTCAGTGAAACTCACTCCTGGGAGAAGGCAGGGGTTCCTGTACTCAAATTTCCTTCACTTGGGATAAACAGGCAATTACCCATCCCTTTTTGCTATGCCATGGCCGTCCGTTGAACTTAAGCATACACTATTAGCACGCGTCCCTGTAGGATCTGCGCCGTGGCGTGTGGAGGTGGTAAGTGAGTAGTGGGATGAAGGAATGGGTAAGGCGGTTGCTAAATGATTGCGCTCTGACAGACAAAGAGGAAGAGAAAAAGAGAGGAAAAAAGTGAATTAAATTACCACCGACCCTAAAGAAGAATAAGCACAGATAGAAAATGAAGAGGTGAATTGAATTCAGCTCAATTGACTGAGTCAAATTAAATTGTTCGGAGCAGACTCTCTTCCTTTCCTTTCCTCCTCCTGTCTGTGTCACAGTCTTGTCAGCAACCTTGACGTCTGGCAGTGTAACAAAGTGACAAGTGAGTTATTAGACAGAGGAAGCTGGAATGGCGGCATGCCTTCAGGTAACAGAGGAGCAGCACATTTTTAATGATCGCTGCTGTCATCCTTTCCTCCCTAGTCAGCCTTCCACCTCTGCAACCTTTCCATCAACCCCAGCTCTCTGTCTCGCCCGCTTTATCTCCAAGCACAGAGGCCCAGAAAACCGCATGTGTCCTATAGGTGGAGTCTTGAAGAAAGGGAGGAAACCTTTCACCAGAATGGGTCAAATCGCTTAAACAAAACGGCTAAAGTGTGAAATAAGTGGAACTCAACACTGATTTGGATGTGAGGTGTAAAGAATACTGTACAGGTCACCATATAGCAGTGTGTGTGTGTGTGTGTGTGTGTGTGTGTGTGTGTGTGTGTGTGTTTCACAAAGAAATACTCTGTACTGGACAAAAACATCTCATTGATGATACATCACCCACTAATAAATACCCCTGTCCCTTGGCTACTTTATCCAATTACTCTAAAGTGTTTGTACCGTCAGTCACAGAGACAAAAAAAATAAATGATAATCTAAAGAAAAATAATCCAAACATATTTTAAGGATAATGTGAAAGCAATGGAAACCTGCAGCAGAGAATCACAGCAAACGGGTTTAAGTGCATGGTATTGATCCAATGGGGTAGAGTTTAAGAACAACAGGAGTTTTATTCCATCGTGTTTTTGGCCTGATTAAAAAAAATAAAAACAAAGTTTTTTTCCTCTCATTAACATGAATCGGGTTTAGGTAATACATTTTTTATCTGAATAGAAATATTTTTTGGCATTAAAAATGCTGCATTAGAGTGTTTGACCCACTAAACATGCCACGTACTGTAATTATTTTTGACACACACCAAATACCAGCTTTTCCTTTTAAAAAAGCCAAAATCTCACTGTACTGCGACTGCTGTAGTTTCTGTGGATTCCCCCTAGAATTTGTATGCTTGCATTTAATTTAGTCTCAAAACTAAGACTAAATCGTAACATTTCATCACAAAAGACACATATTGTGTTCATTTAGTCACCATTTATCCTGATTTGGGTTGAAATTTAGTTGCACTCAAATGTCACCTTTTCTTTTTCGTCTCCACCATGACTCAAATGCTGTTCCCAGGTAGTTCCGAACAGCAGCAGGCCAGAGAGATGCCGGCTTTAGTCAGAACCTTATTTCTTTCCAAGCTGTTTAAGACGTCTGGGTAAAGATATTGGATTTTGTTAAAGGTGTGGTTCACTTGCTTGGTGAATGCATTTGCAGTGGTCTCTAGTAGGAATTAATGACTTACAAGTCGTAGTCAGGGAGGAAAAAAGCTCAAGTGCGCTTGTTTCAGGAAGTGGCAGAATGCCACACCAGAGGACAGCTTAACACGGCGGGACTGATGTTTTATCTCCCTTAGTAACACAAGTCAGGAGGAGTTTCTGCTGTCTAGTGGAGTTGCCAATGCTAACAGTTAGCTTCTACTAGTTGAGACAGTCGCTGCTGATTCCTGGACGTTAAAACAAAAACAACAGCCTTCTCCGCTGTGAGTCTAGAAGGGTGAGTCCATGAACGTTAAGTGACAGTGTGACGTAGATCAAACCTCAGTGTCTATTTTCTATCAGAAGCTAATGCAGTAGATAGGAGTAGAAGACTATGTTCACGTTCAGCCTGCATGAAAAACAGCGCGACTGTTTATGATTCAGGAATGATCATTACAAACAGGTTTTCAGAATCCCACACCTTTAAGAGCTTGCAGTTGCAAACTGAACATGTGCAAAAAGTAACTGGCACAGGTAGAAAGTACTCTCTGTTCTCTCTGCAGTGTAGCTCAACAAGGTACCCAGTTGCCCAAATTTGCCATTGCAAAAATCCTCAAAATATTATTACACATCCCCCTGTATAGATGCAAAGTGCAAAAACTAAATTGGTATACTAAAGATCATAAAGAAACGGCAAAAAAAGAAAAATAAAAAAAATTGAAATGCAGGAAATTATATCAGTGTAAGAGCCTAAAAAAGCATGCCGGCAACCTCTAAATATCTAACAAGCATTTAAAACAATTCACATGGTAATTTCTTTTTTTTTTTACGATTTTTTTCAATGCCGAGAACTCGTTTTAAAATTTGTCTGTGAAGCTAACGTAAAAGAGTCCTGGTTTTAGGATGCTACTCTTTCTTGTCTATAGCTGGAAGCATTGTACTGTAACATAAAACCAATAAGGAGAGAAAAAAAGGAAGCAAACAACCATCAACACAACTCTTACACCAAAAGCCTCTTGGGACATTATTTACAAATGGAGCTGTCATGCTTTTGTAAGGGGTCCATTTAAAAGTTATCATTACACAAATACAACAAGAATTGTTTTTCTCTTTTTTTTCTCAGTACTATTGTTTCTGCAGGCAAAGTCACAAATAAGAGTTTGATGGATTCTTTGGACATAAACACAAAGAGGGCAGAGGAGTAAACGGTGGATCCTCATGAGAAAAATACCTGGAGTTTTGTTATAAAGCATCCTCCATATCTGTGAGCGGCGTCCTGTTCTTCCACAGGTGGATAAGTCGAGGACGCGGCGATGAGCTGCATTTAAAGTCAGTCCATTTTATACATGGAGATCGTAATGTTTTGTGATGACTTAAAAAGAATGGACAAAGAGGCATACAGGCTTGCATTTGATGGTCCTGAACTGGGGTTAAAAGCTCATCTGAGAAGGAATAAGAATGAGAAATGAATGGAGGAGCAGGCAGACCAGCAGGAGGGACACGTTGTGATTCGTTCTTCAGTCTAATATTGTAGAGAAGGGCGTGTTTTTATGAAGGTTTGGGTTCTGAGAGTGCCGGTTACGGCTGCGCACGGAGCTGAACACCATGTTGCAACCAGGAATTTTGCACTTGTGCATCTCGCGCAGGTGCACAGTCTTGTAGTGCACGCGCAGGGTTCCTTTGTTGCTGTAGATTTTGTGGCAGATGTTACAGAGGATCCCACTGCTGCTGCCATTGCTGCCCCCAGTGGATGAGAGAAGGAATGGCGACGAGGAAGAGTCCAGTCCCTCGTCTTCTCCGTCTTTTAGTTCTCCAGCCTCATCCTGAAGTCCCCCTTCAGCCTGCCCCCTGAAACGCTGGGAGTAGTCCTCTCCGTCACTGTTGCCCTCCTCCTCATCCTCTTCTCCTTCCTCCTCCAGGTCATCCAACAAGATGCCTTCGTCACTGCCTTCTTCTGACTCATGAGAGGAGTGGATGCTGCTGCTGGATTGTACACTGGATGTGGTGCTCAGGTCCAGCACCACGTAGTCATCCGGCTGGCCCCGGAAGAGGCTGTTGATGTGATGGTTTTTAAGGTCTTGGTTGAAGGGATGATGGGGATATTCATTGCTCATGAGGGAGCGGGCACTGAAGTTTAGACCAGGGGGCCCAAGGCTGGCGCCTCCAATGCCCATCCTGGTCATTGGGTCCAAACCCATGTGGTGCCCAGTGTAGATCTTGGCCAGAAACTCGGCTCGCAGGTCCTTGGGCAGTGGTGTGAGTTGAGGGTCAAGGACAATGTCATCCAGCTCTTTGGTCAGCAGTTTGCGGTGCAGGTTGATGTTGGAGCTGTGCCTAATGAGCAAAGACAAGCACATGTATAAATCCTAAATACAAAAGCTAAATAAAGCTAAAGTCATGTTTAAATGCATGAATTTATTAGAGTCTGGAAACAAAAGCCCTCACAGAGCTCCCCCCTGCAGCTCTAACTTAGCAACGAGACAGAGCATCCTGCTGGTGTTTACCACTGTCAGCACGTCTGCACTGCACAGCCCTCAAATCCAATAGACTCTGACTCAATTAAATACTCCACCATATTGAATGGGAGTTTATCAATTGATTTGAGCAGTGGTAATGTGATAATCGAGGGGAACTGGATAGCATATTAGCACAAAGTCCTGACAGCATTATCGCATTCGCTCACTATCGGAGGTGGCTCAGTCGAGCACCTGGATGAACGTATCTTCATGTAGCCCTGGATTTAATTAAGATGGGCATTTTCCCAAAAACACACAGCAAACTGTGTCGGATAATGTGCTACAGCTGATCAAAGAAGCTCCGTAACAAACACCATGCTTAAGCCAGAACACAGTTAGCGGGGGATGTCTCACAAAGCCATGCTAAAAGTGGTGAAATGAGCTCAAAAACCAGGCTAGGTGGCATCTCGCTCCTGTTACACTGCTGCTGGGAAAAAGTTAAAGAAACAGAGACCCACCGGGTACACGTCACAATAAAGCTGCATGACACGGGTGGGGAAACTTAAGCTCTCAGGTGTGACAAATGCAAGGCCTCTTGTGTTTATAACCTCAGCCCATCATGATGAGAAAATATGCAAACACCCAGTGCCTTTAATGTGAAGGGTTTCCATGCAGGGAGGGCACACGTGTGTAAAACAACACAAAAAATAAACAAATGAAAGAAAAAGGATCATCCTCAATAAGAATGGGCAAAAAATGGAGTCACAATGGATAGTAGAGCTTACCAGCAGTGGCAGGGTTGATGCAGTCAAAAAGGGTCCCTTTCCTTTAATTATTTACTTCCCTATCCGACATTGTCCTGCAAGAGGTAAACATACATTCATTTGAGGGACCCTTTTCTGTGAACCAAGCAGCCAGGAGCCCGTCCGCTCGAGCATCGTCAGCATTAAGGACAGGGAGCATGACTGGTTGATTAGCCATGGCTGTCACTGTGTGTGTGTGTAATCGTATCTATGTGTGTGTGTGTGTGTGTGTGAGACCAAAAAGGTTAAACGTATGTTTTCCTTATTTTTGACAGTGCAAATGTAACAAAGTGACATAAAATTTACAATATGATATTTGTGGTGACGTTTTTGTGTAAAGTACGTGTTTGGCTGTGAGGGATCGGTGTTTCTAAGACGTGTGAAACAAAAATGGACGTGTTTTGCAGGAACACCACGGGGTTTTGTAGTATTCTGAGCCACAGATTGGCTCCGCTAGCTGGCTCGGTGGGTTGTTGATGATGCTCAAGTAGGCAGGTCCTTTGCAACATGTCTCCAACTTTAAAACAACACCTTCTCACTGCTAATAAGCTCTAAGTTAACCATGGCTATCTATGGAGGTCAGACATGCTAAAAATCAAGTTTGCAGATTTACTGGAGATTATTTTCAAACACTCATAATGAAAAGTGTTCTGAGGAGTTTTTAAGGAAAATATTGACCGGAAATATCTGCAACAAAAAAATAAAACTGCCTTTCAGGTTCAGTGGCTTCTAATAAAAGTATTTAATAGTTACATAAATATAAAAACGCAAGCTGCAAAGCCAAACTAGTCCCAGTTTACCGTCATAGCACTGTTGTTTAACCGTTGTGTGGGCAGGGTCTCCTTGCCTTAAACAATCCAAATAAGTCAACTGAATCCACATGCTGAGGACATAATGCCCTCTTCTCTTCATTTATCAGATTTAGATTCTCTGCCCCATTTCCCACTCCCTTCCATTCCTCCACCTCCATCACTCCTCCTCCTCCTCAGTATGATCTCTCTCTCTCTCTCCCCCCACCTCCCCACCTCTACAGTGCCTCCCTGCTGGCCAGTAATGTGGCTGGCAAACCAATTTGACAGTCTCATCTTCGCCCAAAAGATGTGGGAGGCCTCCAGAGAGCCTGGCTTTGGCTGTGCAGAGGAGGCAGAGCGAGAGTGTGCCTGTCCCGATCGCCGTTAATCATCTTTAGGTTCATCTGATGGCCCTTGCCCTTGTTTTTGTGTCGGCGCGAGTGTGTATGGATATACATGTCTAAATGACTCATAATGTGTAAATGAGATGGAGCGCTGAGACACTGGTGGTCCTTTGTCTTTCCTGTCATTTGGGGTGTGTTATGAGGTTTTAGGTTTGAGTGGGAGGACCAGAGATTCAGTAGCATTCATCACTCTGTTACCTCTCTGCAGCATTGTTTAAAGTTATTTCACCAGCTTCCAGTGGACACACACACACACGCACACACACGTTTCTATATGTTATTCATCTAAGACTCATCTTATTGTATTTATGCGCTTTAAAATTCATCCCAGCTAAGCTGTCAGTGCCAACCCAAAGGGGTGTAATAGTTTTCATCTTTTATTCTGCAGAAAATGTAAAACTGGGTTTGAGCAGCTTTTGCTAACAGATTCTCTCTGCGAGCAGCATGCCCTTTGTTTGTGCGAGACAAACTCTGATTGTGCAGCAGAGAAAACCAGCTCCACATGCCGAGAGGGGACCGAGGGGAAAAGGGAAGGAAGACGGAGAGACGAAGGAGAGGGGAGGAAAGAGACTTTCCAACATAATTAACCTTCACTCTCTCCTTTTTCAGTGGCCCATGCAGGGACCATGAGCCGCGCACCGCTGCATCATGGGAATGCGAGTGGAGGGAGGACACCTGCTTACTTCAGCGACACAGAAAAGGCAGGTTCAGATTTTGTAGAGAAGGTTAATTTAATCTAGAACACCAATGCTTTGAGAACTTTGAAGGAAAGGTTAATAATAAAGACGACTACTGCCACACACTTTATCCCTCGTGTCAACTTAAAATAAACATAAAGTCATTTACTTTGGTGCCACAGGGACCCCGGGTAGAACAAATCCTCATCTCCTGTCCTCTGTTTTACAAAAAAAAAAAAAACTCCTCCATGTTGCATGTTTACTCAGGTGGAACATTTATCACTGCACAGATGTTTCTGCATGCTTTTGTGTAAAATTAGCTGTTTACTTATCAACAGTACAGAGATGTAAGTTGAGCACTGGATAGTTTATTTCTCTTTTGACTTCATCATAACCAACTGCTTGTCTTTTTCCATAAAAGAAATGACCCCTTTCTCCTGTTTTCTTTCCTTTACGTTGATGTGAGGTTCTGAATCTGTCTGTTGTGTATTTACACGACTTTAGACTTTCTGTCTACTGAAAAGTCCTGCTTTCTAATTGTGATCGCTAACACAAGTCAGCTAAAAACAAGTATCTAATTAGCAGAAAACATGTATTAATTATATAAACATACATGCAATAAACATTCAAACTCTGTTTCATGCAAATACATTTGTACACGCATGTTTCCTAATCTTATCAGACCAAGCTCTGATGAAAACAACTAAATTATATTCCCGTTTGATTGCTTCCATTACACTCAAATACACATTATGTCATTAGAAGATTATCCAGGGGCAGATTTGATGAGAACGTAACTTGTGCGTCGATTCATCTCAAAGCCCCAGGATTCCTGCAGCTTTGCAGCGCATCGCTTTTCTGTTGTTTCGTTCCCCGTTCGAACCTGCAGCAGAGTAATATGTCCCATATGGCGTCGGGAAGAGTATGGAAACAACAGCGTCTCACCCACCCAAAGCGAGACAGCACTGGCTTAAAGATGCATTATTGTCATAGCTGCGTGGTTCTGCTTCCTGCGAAGCTCTGCCTACCATATGCTCTGCCACGTTGTGAGTTTGACGGGCATTTATACGCCGGTGTTTTTCATCAGCTGAGTTAAACGATCACACACGTCCAAACTGACAAGCTGGTAAAGTTTTTCTGTTTAATGTAATCTGAGTATTTACTTACTGTTTTGGGCTTTGGAGTTTATGAAAACTCAAATTTCCCAAACTATTTCTCACCTCTTTTTCACAGTAATTGCATTTTTGTTACTTTCTACAGGTCATGATGAGTTTATGGCATCAGGGGTGTTAAATAGCACAGCTGGTAAAACAAAGCAGAGCTGCTGTGTTTATTTTACATTAGAATTTAGTACGTTTGTCTTAATATAAAATATAGATATTCCTTAGTTTATATCTGCATGACGTGATTTGTTTAAATTCTTTAATGCTCCCAAAAATATTTCAATGGGTGTGTGAATATGTAAAGTTCACTCACATAAATGTGCTTGATGTTTCATTTTTTTACTTTTTGACGTTCACATTTTTCAAAGTCTTGATAAAAGACAGGATTTAGCACATCAAAGTGAGGCAGTGAACGCCACGAAAACACTTCTGCCTCTACATCTTTACTCTGTGAGCTGAAGGGTTTCACCTTTATGGATGCTAACCTGCTTTGCTTGTTGTCCTCTTACATCCAGCATAGGAGGAGTCTCTAATTCACCGTCTCTGTTTACACGCAGCAAACAGAGCTGAGGCCATAGATGCCACAAAAATAACAAATAAAAGAAATGCAATAGATAAGGATTTGAATGTTTGGGCTGAGCGTGGTAGGAGGACAAGGTGCAACAAAAGAGACAAGAAGTAAAAAAGAAGAAAATCCAAATCCCAAGTTCACTCATTTTTTCAATACATTTGCAGTGGTCTAAGTGAATGCTTTGTGAGTACAGTAAGACAGAGGAGAGGCGAGCAGAGGATAGCAGGTTTTGGAGGCTTATTTCCTGATATTCAGGCATCTAGCCTCTGATTGGCTAACATCAATGCTGCTCTTCCACTGCCTCCATTCACTCTTCAACACTGGCTTTTTATCTCTACAAATAACTCAAGCCTGAAGAAGTTCTGCTATGTTGTGGTGTCGCTAATGGTTAGCTTATGCTGGCCGACATGCGCTCTGCTCTCTCCTGGATGATAAACCAACAACAGCCTTTCCCGTTGTGAGCCAAGATGAGTGAATCCATGACTGTTAATGTTTAGTGTGATTTAGACCAGTGTGGCTTTTTTAATCCAAGCGTCTCCTCATCTATTTTCTATCATTGACTAATGCAGGAAACAGGGGTAGAGGACTATTTTCAGTTTTCTCCGTGAGCTTGGTCTTTAAGATAAGAACAATGTTTCTACAATGGTATCTTTAATAAATCAAAGTGTCACGTGTTATGGTTACAATATGATAAACCTCTAACTTAAAGCAAACATCCTACATTTATGTGTGAAATCTTAATGCTTATTTGTATGCAAACAATTATTGTTTGGAACCTCTTGGTGAGACCTTTTCAAACTCTGAGCAATAAAGATGTTCGGTATCTTCCCCGCGTGTTGCTGCATCAAGCTGCTATATGCATATATACTTATGTATCCTTAAGAGAGTGAGTGTGTGGGACTGATATGTGCTAACAAGCCCAGGTGAGTAAGGCTGGCCTCACCTTTTAATGCGCTAATAAATGCAGCGGTTTGACAAACTGATGTCAATGTTAATGTATGCGCCTTCATCTCCCTGTGAAAAGGTGAGGTGGCGAGGGCAGGTAAACAACACGTTGCAGCTGGAAGGTTGATGCATGCAGTTAAGTGAAAATTTTAATGTGTGCTTCTCCACATTTCACTCTGCTCTTCCGAACTTCAAGTTGACACAGAGCAGATGCCACAGAGTACCTTTTTAAAAGTTTCTCATTAAATTAACAGATGTTAAATGGCAGCTTAACCAGAAAAAGTTTGCAAAAACAGCAAAGTTGCTCTTTATTATGCTAACAGCTTGAGTCACTTCTTCTTTTGCTTCTAAAGAACCAGACTATCTTGAAATCTTGTATTTTTATTTGAAAATGTACAGCTTTTGTCCAATTTTTCCAGTGTGTCATACTTATGCAGGACTCTGTTCAGAGAACTGTCATTTAGCACCGACCATTAAATCCTCTAAGTTAAAAAAATCACCCAAATGCAATATTCTAACAAGTGCTGGTGCAGGATCGCGAGGGGATGGTGGCTGGACAGGGTGGCAGTCCATCACAGGACAACACAGGACAAACAACCATATACACACACACACACACACACACACAAACACACACACACACACACACACACACACACACACACACACACACACACACACACACACACACACACACACACACACACACACACACACACACACACACACACCTAGGGACAATTTAGACAGATCAAGCTGTTTTACAAAAAATACACCCAATTATAGAACAGTCTGACGTGTATATCATAGGGAATTTCCCCAAAGAGGGTGCAACCCAACTGGTCTTTGCTGAATGTTTAACCCTCTGGAGGCAGGTGTTGCAGATATGCAACAGTTAAAACCTACCTGGTTACTCCACATATGTATTTCATGAGCATTTATTAACTCAGAAGTACCCCTGAAGGACTTAGTTGTTCGTCCTTTTATCAAAACATATTTTGAGCCTGAGAGGGTTAATGTTTCTTGGGGAGATAACATTGAGAGACTGTTAATCTGCTGTAGATATAATTTAAGCCTAACAAATATTTTTCCTCTTAAACTTGTCCATTATCCACAGCTCTTTTAAGCACTGCTGTATATTATGGCACAATGTGCATTTACAAAAAATTGCTTTTGGGGAGTAACCTTGGTACAGAAATATTATTTTATGTCTATCAAACAGTGTTATCTTTAGCATTAGAACAGAGAAGAAATGAGTCTTTGTTGCTAATTACTGTTAAAAGGGCCAGCAGAAACTTGGTGTGTCCCTAGAGTTTAGGTGCATTTTCCTGCTTGATGGATTATAGGTCAGCGGTTTGTAGGTCAGTTTGAGTACAAATCTCGGAATTTCTTAAGTTGTTCAGGTATGAGGGATTTACAGTAAGTGAATGAAAAACAGCTCTTCATGTCTAAATAAAATCGTTCTGAATTGCCCTTTAGAAACTTTGGAGATCACTAAGGTCTACTTTAAAAATAAGAAAAAAGTCTATCATCCAAAAGTAAGAAAAAATATTAATTATGGGATGATCTGGGCTTTATAAAAAAAAAAGAAAAGCCTGTTTGTACAAGGTTTCTATAAAATCTTAATGTTTTTCAGATAACATCCAAATCAAACCTACCTTGTAATGTTACAAAAACAATAAAATACATCTCGACACTGCAAGCGAGTTGCACTCACCTATCTCGGCTTCGCCGGGAAGGGAAAGCAGCGTTGCAACCAGCCACCGTACACACATGCATCTCTTTGAGGTGCACATTCTTGTAGTGCAGTTTCATGCTATAGGAGCTCTTGAAGCTCTTCTTACAGACATAGCAGATCTTGGGGTCGGGACTTGAACATGGATCTCCCTCTGGTGATTGAGAAGTAGGGAACTTGGGTGGACTGGCACCATATCCGATTGATGAGATGAAGCTCTCGTGCAGGGCCGCCATGCTTGCGGCTGCAGCAGCAGCTGCTGCCATGCCTCCGTTATAGAGACCGTACTGACTCATACAAAACATGTCATATGTTGGATCACTGAGTTCTTCTTTAATCTTGATGGGGCGCTGGTGAGGAGAAGGTGAAGAATGGCCATTTCCATCTATTTCCTTTCTCAAATGTGCGTCTTCGTTACTCTCGCTTTCGTGCTCCTTGTCCATACCCCTTCCACCCCTGCTGTGCTTTTGCTGTTCCTCCCCATCCATCAGCTCATCTCGGTAGAACATCTTAGAATCTGATGTTTCAGACTCATTTTCAAAGTCTCTTTCGTGGTCCTGATCCTCAGAAGTAAAGCTGTCCATACATCGTAGCTCGGAAGTCCCACCTCTACTCTCACTGCCAGTGCCTTCCCTACATTCATCCTCACTTTGTCTAATCATTCCTCTCAGGGCTAAACCAGGGCTCAGCTCATCTTGGGAGGGAGACTGCTGCCCACTACCGCCACTGTGGTGTCCCGTACCACTTCCACAGTTGTTGCTGTTACAGTTACCATTCATTTTGATGTTGTTATGAAGAAGAGTTGACTGGTGATGATGATGATGATGATTATGATGCATGCTGTCATCGTCATCGTCATCTTTATCCTCATAATCATCAGCCACATCGATCACTTCTTTCTCAATTTTTACAGGCATACTAGATTTACGTGGTTTCTTTTTAGGGGTGGGGTCACTGTTGCTTGTGGTGAGGTCTTGACTGGCACTAGCAGCAGATAAACGGTGAGATAGAGAACCTGCCTCAGACATGTGAACATTATTATGGGAAGCAACAGCAGCCAGGATCTGTTGTTGCTGGTCCATCAGGGTGGTGCTGTTGGTTGCAGTGGGCATGATGGGACTGGTTGGCAGTGACACTGGAGGGCTGACGAGGTCCGCTGGGGACACCAGTGTTCTGTAGAATGGGGGTACTGGCTGAACTGGCTGTACTGACTTCAGCGTGGGGAACACTAATGGACTTTGCAGGGGGGACTGGAGCATGGGGTCAACTGGTGGAGTAGTAAACCCAAGTGGTGGCCTTCCAGGACTGGTGAGAGTGAAACCACTATTCTTGCTGTTGGAGATAACGGGTGTACCAGCAGAGGAATTGGCACGGATGAGGTCTTTGTCACGGTTATTGCGCAGCATGGGCATGTGCAACCGTGGGTTGGGGTTGGCACTATGGCGGTTGCGACTGCGCAATGAACTGAAGACCATGTTGCATCCCTCAATGGTGCAACGATGTTTAATCTTCAAGTGGACAGCATTGTAGTGTATCTTAAGTGTGCCTTTATCATAGAAGGTTTTTCCACAAGCATTGCAGCACACTCGACCCTTCCGTGAGGTGGCTCCCATGCGACGCATTCGATGCATCTTGGAGGAGAATGAAGGATGGGTGATGGTTTTAGAAGGCTCATCCTTTACAAAGTGATGGTGGACCTGGTGTTCACTCAAGCTGTTGGCTTGTTGAGACTGACTCTGAGATTGCTGTTGACCCTGCTGCTGTTGTTGCTGGAGCTGTGTCTGCTGCTGCTGCTGTTGAGCTTGCTGGGTGGAAGGGGTTGGTGAGATAGGTGACGCACAGTTGCTTGGTTCTGTCTTAGGTTCAGTGTTGTTAATGGCTCCCAGTACCCCTCGACTTGGGCTCTGACCGGTGCGAAAGGGGGACAGAGACACATCTGATTCACTGGTATCCACATGTTCGCCTTGGTTTGGTAAGCTGGGCTCACGAAGCCGTAGGGCAGACTGCTCCATTGGGAGGCCGTTTGGGGGCAAGCCAAGCATGGGGGCAGAGACTGGGTTGATGTATTGGAATGGTAGGAGGAAGGCTAAACTGTTGGGAATATTTTCAAAATGGTGAATGCTGGATGGGCTACTGTTTTCCAGATGTGTCAAGAGCCCGGGGCTGCGGGTCCGATTATTACTTTCAATGAATGTTCTAATCCCAGAGTCTGTCTTTGACGAGGGAACAGTAACTGCCTGACCTTCTTTCTCCTGAATAGCCATAAGCTCCACAATGGACTTGGTCTCACCAAAGCGCAAGAACTGCTGCAGGGTGATGATCTCCTCTTCACGGGACATGATGGTCCAGCGGTCCAGCACCTTGCCTGCAGCATCCTACATGTCCCAGAAGAGACAAAAAAGAAGATACAAACTATTATTGATTGTGAATAATCAGTGTGGTCAAAGGACAAGACAGAGCAGCAGTGAGTTTTCTGCTCATGAAATTCTAAAGGTCCTGGAGCAACATCCATCAAATAAGCTTAGTCAAAAACTAACCCTTCACTTTTTCTATTCATTCTTCATCAAAAATGTTTTTCTTTTTTCAATTTTACTGATGGGCACTAAAACGGTTCCCCAGGCAAACCAGTCATAGGTGAAGCTATTAGAAAGTCTTTGTAATTTGAAATATTGCAAAGGCTTTAATCTGTGAGACGGACTAAATGAACTTTGTAAATAATTTGAACTCTTGCTGAAACTCCCCGTGTGCAAAGTGCAGCTTTTTTATTATGAGCCAAAAAAAAACTATCAAATATAAATACTAGAATAATTAGTGAAAAGCAATAATCAGACTTGGTTGGCACGCATTTGTCTGTCTGTTCTTCATCTCTAAGGCGGGGAATGCTCCAGGGGAGACAGCGGGGGATGATGGAGATCCAAAGACAGAGTTTCATGTTAATGTGAGGTTATTGTTGAGGATGCTTTAAAGTTGTGTTCTGTCCATTGATGATTACTATGACTTTATATTGTTTTCTAAATAAGATGGATTGAAATCATCTGGTTCAAAAGGTCACACTCAAATAGTATTGTGGCTTCAATTGGATACTAATTAAGCAAAATATTTTTATGATAATTCTTCAATTTATTTGGCTTTTATGCCATGACAATAGTTTGAAAATTGACAAAAAAATAAAAATAAACAAAAAAATAAACATATCCAACCAACTGGCTGGGCATTAACCCAAAAGTTCATTTTTTATGAATACACAAGTAAAAGGGACAGCTTACATGCAAATGTGTACATTGTCATACTCCTGTGAAGGGTACATTTGTGAACAAAATTGAAATTTACAAAAGCGACAGGAAGATGTAAAGGTGTAAATAGTGCAGTTAACATGAGGTCTTAAGGGAGCAGCGGCAAGTGACATCAAGGGAGTAACGCAAGCGATGACAATTAGTCATACTGAAATGGTAGCATTTCTTTTGTGCTCCTCGCTGCTGGCATCTATAAAAGATAAATGGCGACTCGGTGAGTAGAAAGCTGTAAAAACCAACATCACAAAGCACAAAGGGCCTGTAAGGAGAAAACAGAAGATAAATGTTTAAAGAGAGGCAGCAAAAAAAGAGCACGGGAGAGACACAGAGGAAGAAACAGAAAAAAATAAAAAATAAATAAATGTGTGAGTGGTTTCATATCATGCCCTCAGATATAGAGAAATAGATTCTTCTGAGACGAAACATCAATAGTCACTGGGGTATTTGTTGTTAAATATACATTAAAAAACATTTTACACTTTCATTCTGTGTGCGCTCTGGAGTTTTAGCCTGGAGGTATGACTTTAAATTCGGGCCTGGACACTATTATTTCATACTGCACGGCCATCTGGGCATTAGTATTTCCATTTGATTTAATTGAAACAAAAAAAAAAGAAGGCAAATTAAAAAGGGAATCTTTAAGAAGCTCCAGCAACAGAATAATTTTAAGTGTGGTTCAAAGAAGCACAGAGGTCTCTTTTTATGTTTATAAGAGACAAAAAGGGACTAATCTGTGTAACGCACTGAGGTAACCAGAAAAAGGTCTTATAAGATGTGTGAATGATCCAAAATGTGCTTTTCATTTTTTTTCTAAATAACTATTTGGACAGATGTACTTCAATAAATGCCTACTTCAAATAAATAATTATCACTGTGCTTCACTTTGATATAAAAATTCAGATTATATTTAATTCTTAAGAACAACTTTAATCTGAGTCTCGCAGGCAAATTCTCAGAAATAATCTGAGGTTTTAATTTTCAACATTTAATCAGTACATCTGCAGGGGTCTCTAGCAGGAATGAGTTCGTTGTAAGTCGTACTCAGGGGGCAAACACACCGATACACCATTTCCAGGAACTCTGAGTTAGCCACAGCTGAGCTTCAGACGGCAGGTTTTGGAGTCTTTGTTCCTGATATTTGGACACCTCGCCTCTGATTGGATAACAGCAACGTTAGTCTACCACTGACTTGTAACGTAGATGTTTTATCTCTACATATTACACAAGTCTGGAGGAGTTCTGCTGTGTGGTGGAACTGCTAATGCTAATGGTTAGCTTCCACTAGCCAAAACGTTCTCTGCTGTTTCCTGGACGCTATTTCGTCATTGTGCACATTTCATATTGTGAGTCAAGATGGGTGAGTCCTAGCCTGGCCCGCCAGACCCGTCCTCTGTTTAATTCTGCAGAGAAAGAGTCTGGTAGCTCACAGGCAGAGAGGCACTTGAGGGGCGGGACTAGGCAGTTCAAAAATAACCAATCAGAAAAAGACGGAAATGCCGACGATACTGCGCGACACTGTAGTTTTTAGCTGTAGTTAAAAAAAAGGCGTCTGGTAACGGCGCAAACATCATTTATTTTTTTAGAAGAAAGGCTTTAAGCTCTTCGACTTGTGGTTTTAAAGACATTCAAGTCATTTAGAACAGACCAAAGAGCCGCAGCGAACTCCGCCGCTGTCTTCATTGTTAATGAGAAACTGAGCGTCGCTGTGTGTGACGTCCACGATGCTGTCGTTTTTTAGCTGTAATCAAAAATGGAGTTTGGTGACGGTGCAAACACCTTTCTTTAGAAGAAAGGCTTTTAGCGCTTCTACTTGTTGTGGTTTTAAAGATGTGTCCAAGTCATTTAGAACAGAGGAAAGAGCCGCAGCGAACTCCGCTTCAGTCACCATGTTCGACTCGGTGTTATGGTGTGTGACGTACGCTACTCAGCGCTGGTTGGCTCGGTTAGAGTTCTCACAGGGTGGGGTTATTTGAATAGGAGAGTTCCCAGACCGTTTCTCTGTGCAGAATTAAACAGAGGAGGAGTCTGGCAGGCCAGGCTAGGTGAGCCCGTGAACGTTTAGTGACAGTGTGACGTAGATCTATCAGGATTTTCTAATTCTAGAGTTTCACCAGCTATCAGAAGCTAATGCAGGAGATAGGTGTAGGAGACTATTTTCATGTTCAGCCTGCATGAAAACCTCACAGTGACCAATTATTGTCAGAAATAATTGTTAAAAAATGGGGTTTCAGTGTTCCACACCTTTAGGAAAAAGATACAAACATTTCCAAAAACCTTACAGATGAAAAACACGTCCTCGCTGACTGAATTCATTTCCCTCTAGTTCATAATGTGTCCTAACCTCTCTGCCTCAGATGTGAAAGAAAAGCCATAATAGACCCAGGTCGGACCACAACTCTGAGTTAAAGCGAGAGCGAGAAAACATCAAGCAGCTTTTCTGTGTTCAGGATTCAGTCTGGAGGAGGCTAATCAAGCATTTCACCTTAGTAATTGAGCAAAAAGCATTTTGCACTATTTATCCGAAAATTTAAATCTGAAGCAATCCCTGCAAAAAAAAAAAAAGGAGGAAGAGGAGGCAGAATCAAAAACCTTCTTTTAAAAAAAGCCGATGCGGTTGATCATTTCTCACTCTGTTTTACAAATATCTCCTAGCAGACAAACACATGCCCCAATAATCTTTACTACCATAAGTCTCACAACTCCACTCCCCTGCATTAGCCTTGAGACGCTGCGAGAGAAACAAATATGCCATTAGAAGCACTTTTACAAGTAGGCACTCATCTTCCAATTAGTTTAATGTGGCCCTCTTCCCCCTATATTTTCCAGGCGTGCCCCACCTATTCTTGTACACTCCCTCCAGTAAAATCTCATTAATCCTCCCCTCCCCCATCTCTTCCCTAGTGCTATGACATATTAGTCTGTCATTATGCATCCCAGAGTCCTTTAAACAATGCGGCTAAACCTCTGTTTGCCAAGTTAATGACTATTAGCCAATAATTACAGCAGCGAGACGACGGGGCACCCCACTTTATCTGGTCGACAGCTTCTCATGTTGGTTTATTTTATCTGCATGCCTCTGTGTCTGGCAGAATTAATCTCGCAACCTGTGTATTTATTCATCTTTCTGCTGATGCAATTTCTTCTGAATTCACTGTGGCGTTGTATTATTATGTTGTTAACATGGAGCGGAGTTGATCTGCTTGCAAATTGCTGAGCTTGATCGTCTCTCCATAATCTTCATTACCACTGTCAGTCCAAATAAACAAACAAATAAATAAAATGAGCAATTTTACAGTGAGCAGGCTAGCTGTATTAGGAAACCACATCTGTCGTGTCATGTTCAAGATGAGTAACTGTTGAGTTTAGGGAGAACTGTGACGGCAAAGTGAAAAAATACAAAATACACAACACTGTTCCCCATTTCTCTCCAAAATCTCAATAAGGAAACCTCTGATGAGCACATTATGAAAACTGGCTAGTGGCTGTATCGGTCCATAAAAGTGAAAGGGCAGTTCAGCCAATCATGAGACAGATCAGCTGAAAAAAAGGAAGGATCAGTTCTCACAATGGCAAAGCGAACCATGGGAACCACATTGATTCACCAATCACCTAGCAGTGAATGTGATCTCCGCTAAGCCTCGGGGGAATCCCCATTGATCCCCAGTCCTGCTCTCAGAATCCAGTTTCTTTAAAAAAATAAAAAGGAAAACACGCTCTATTCCTGTGTTCGCCACTTCAAGGGAGGTTAAGCAGAAGTTCCTTGTGATCTGAGAAGGTCTTGAACTTTGACGCTTCCTCTTCCATTTTCTGCCCCCCCACCCCTCCCTGTTTTGGGCCTTTATGAATAATGCAGAGGATCTAGTGACGAGGGGGGCACCATGGGGGATAGGTTCATGCAAAGCCCACTGCCTCAAGCCATCACATCAGAGGGCGAGCGCTCCGAAGACACAAGCCGCTTCCCCTACCAGCTCCCATGTGGCAGGTCAGAGGTCATCTGTGAACAACAACCTTTACTGCTTTCCCTTGTGATGGACCACAGGATAATCTCTTGCTACATAAAGACGTGGGTGGAGAAAATTTGC